CACCCACTGGATTTCATGCCTAAGGCGGGACTAGAACTCCCATTCTCTTGGTGATTGGCCCAAAGTCACCCACTGGATTTCATGCCTGAGGCGGGACTAGAACTCCCATTCTCCTGGTCATTGGCCCAAAGTCACCCAGCTGGCTTTCATGCTTAAGGCGGGACTAGAACTCCCATTCTCCTGGTGAGTGGCCCAAAGTCACCCACTGGATTTCATGCCTAAGGCGGGACTAGAACTCCCAGTCTCCTGGTCATTGGCCCAAAGTCACCCAGCTGGCTTTCATGCCTAAGGCGGGACTAGAACTCCCATTCTCCTGGTGATTGGACCAAGGTCTCCCAGCTGGGTTTTGTGCCTAAGGCGGGACTAGAATTCCCATTCTCCTGGTGATTGGACCAAAGTCACCCAGCTGGCTTTCATGCCTAAGGCGGAACTAGAACTCCCATTCTCCTGGTGATTGGCCCAAAGTCACCCAGCTGGGTTTTGTGCCTAAGGTGGGACTAGAACTCCCATTCTCCTGGTGATAGGCCCAAAGTCACCCAGCTGGGTTTTGTGCCTAAGGTGGGACTAGAACTCCCATTCTCCTGGTGATAGGCCCAAAGTCACCCAGCTGGGTTTTGTGCCTAGGGCGGGACTAGAACTCTTTATTCTCCTGGTGATTGGCCCAAAGTCACCCAGCTGGGTTTTGTGCCTAAGGCGGGACTAGAACTCCCCGTCTCCTGGTTTCTAGCCTGTTGCCTTAACCACTAGACCAAACTGACTCTGGGAAGCCAATGGGTGACTTCCTAACCCCCAATATCTAAACCCAGTTTGGCCTGGCGGTGCATCTTGTGAAATCCAAGATATGTTGGGGAGGCAACTACCGAATGCAAAGCGAATCGTCGTGGGTGAGTTCAAAAGACAAGAGAGCCAAAACGGACCCCCGGGGACCCCAGTTCAAATCCTGTTCAGTCCCGTATAATTCCGTCCCAATAATTTTTGTGGGTTGCTTTCACACAAGACGCTAAGCCAACAGACTCCCATTAGACACACTTACTCCTTCACCAGAGTTTGCAGCTGCTGCTTGAGAGATTGCTGTGCAGTCTCCAGGAGTTCCTAGGACGAAAAAAGAGCACCTTTAAGCAAGGATAGGATAGAAGAGAAGAGAAAATACAATAGGAAATAGAATAGAATAATGGAATGAAGAATAGAATAGAGCAGAATAGAAAATAGAACAGAATATTAGAATACAATAGAATAGGAAATAGAATAGAGTATTAAGATAGGATAGGATATGGTAGAATAACAGTGTTAGAAGGGACCTTGGAGGTCTTCTAGTCCAGCCCCCTGCTTAGGCAGGAAACCTTATACCACTTCAGACAAACGCCTATAGTTGAAACCAAGTTTATTTTATTTTACACCCTTATAATAAAATATAAAAAATAAATGCAGTAAAGTATCGTATATTTTATTTTACGGCATGTTTCATTCTAATTTATTGCATATTTTATTTTATTCTACTGCATATTTTTTTTGCCACAATTATTAAATTAATCCTATCCTTAATACTCCTGCTGGGAGGGTCTGTTTGATTTCTTTGAGAACCAAAAGGCCACAATACTGGAAGGCGGGGGGAATCTTTTATTGCCATTTTTGAGGCGGCTTCTTTCGGGTTTTCCATCTTGTTTACAGGGTTGGGTTTTCCTGGTGGTCTCCCATCCTCAACAGCTAGCAAAGATCGATCCACTCACCTCTTGCTGTTCCATCATTCTGCTCAAACTCTGGGAAAATTTTTCCAGGCACTCCTGGGCGGGGAAAAAAAGATAACAAATCGTCGGAGAAACATCGGAATGAGGATTATTTGGTCTAATAATCGCTTTAAACCTTTTTTTTTAATTTTGTTTTTTGTTTTGGGTCAAACTGACATAGTTTTCAAACCCGACTGGGATTTATTTTCCTCCTGGGCTGAACTACAACTCCCATCGCACGCAGGTGACAGGACATGGCGAGTTGAGCAAACAGACTTGGCATTTAGGAACTTCCGGGGCCCGGCTGATGTCGGGTGCCAGGCACTTTACACATGCTCAGAGGCAGTGTGGGGCAAGCAAGAGGAATGTTGCCCTCAAAGGGACGTTGACTTTTGCACTTGGGTCTTCCTAGATTGATCGATCTATCTATCTATCTATCTATCTATCTATCTATCTATCTATCTATCTACCTACCTACCTACCTACCTACCTATCCCTCCCTCCCTCCCTCTATCCATCTACCTATCCCTCCATTTATCCTTCCATCTATCCATCATCTATCCATCTATCCATCAATCCCATCTATCTATCTATCCCTCCATCCATCCATCTCTCCCTCCCTCCATCTACCTATTTATCCCTCCATCTATCCCTCCCTCCCTCATCTATCTGTCTATCCATCAATTCCACCTTCCTGTCTGTCTATCCCTCCCTCCCTCCCTCCCTCATATATCCATCTATCCATCCATCAATTCCACCTTCCTGTCTGTCTATCTATAGTTTATCTATATCTATCTATACATCTATTTATTTCAAGAAAAGATCTATCTCTCCCTCCTTCCATCCATCCCCATCCATCCTCCCTCTATCTATCCCTCCATCCCTCCATCTATCCCTCCATCCACCTATCTATCTCTCCATTTATCCCTCCACCTATCCATCTATCCATCCATCCATCCATCCATCCATCCATCCATCCATCCATCCATCAATTCCATCCGTCTATCTCTCCCTCCTTCCATCTATCCCTCCCTCATCTATCCATCTATCCATCCATCAATTCCATCCGTCTATCTCTCCCTCCTTCCATCTCTCCCTCCCTCATCTATCCATCTATCCATCAATTCCATCTGTCTGTCTGTCCGTCCATTCTTCAGTCTGGGGGCAAAAGGCCGTTTTGTGTGCGTGTGTTTCTCTCTCTCACATGCACAAACACACAAAATACACACACACACACACACACACACACACACACACACACACACACACAGAGGGCTGGGACACAGGAGCCACCGAGGCCAAAGGCCCAGTTTGAGGGCAACCTCCCCGGCCTCTCTCCCCCACCCACCCACCCACCCAAAATCCACTTACGCCCATCAAGGTGTCCCCCGAGGAATTCTGGGACAGCTCCTGGATGCCCAAGGCGAAACTCTTGCTGTGGCTGCAGAACTGGCGCCCCGATTCCAGCATGGTGCCACCCAGCTTCAACAACTGCCGGGGGGGGGGGGGG